CTCTGCATTATATTCACACCACACATTGCTCTCAGACATGACATCTCCACTGCCTCCAGCCTTCTCCTCGCTGCAACATTCATCACCCATGCTTCACACCCATATAAGAGCGTTGGTAAAACTATACTCTCATACATTCCCCTCTTTGCCTCCAAGGACAAAGTTCTTTGTCTCCACAGACTCCTAAGTGCACCACTCACCCTTTTCCCCTCATCAATTCACCTCATCTTTCATAGACCCATCCGCTAACATGTCCACTCCCAAATATCTGAATACATTCACCTCCTCCATACTCTCTCCCTCCAATCTGATATTCAATCTTTCATCACCTAATCTTTTTGTTATCCTCATAACCTTACTCTTTCTTGTATTCACTTTCAATTTTCTTCTTTTGCACACCCTACCAAATTCATCCACCAATCTATGCAACTTCTCTTCAGAATCTCCCAAGAACACAGTGTCATCAGCAAAGAGCAACTGTGACAACTCCCACTTTATGTGTGATTCTTTATCTTTTAACTCCACGCCTCTTGCCAAGACCCTCACATTTACTTCTCTTACAACCCCATCTATAAATATATTAAACAACCACGGTGACATCACACATCCTTGTCTAAGGCCTACTTTTACTAGGAAATAATTTCCCTCTTTCCTACATACTCTAACTTGAGCCTCACTATCCTCGTAAAAACTCTTCACTGCTTTCAGTAACCTACCTCCTACACCATACACCTGCAACATCTGCCACATTGCCCCCCTATCCACCCTGTCATACACCTTTTCCAAATCCATAAATGCCACAAAGACCTCTTTAGCCTTATCTAAATACTGTTCACTTATATGTTTCACTGTAAACACCTGGTCCACACACCCCCTACCTTTCCTAAAGCCTCCTTGTTCATCTGCTATCCTATTCTCCGTCTTACTCTTAATTCTTTCAATAATAACTCTACCATACACTTTGCCAGGTATACTCAACAGACTTATCCCCCTATAATTTTTGCACTCTCTTTTATCCCCTTTGCCTTTATACAAAGGAACTATGCATGCTCTCTGCCAATCCCTAGGTACCTTACCCTCTTCCATACATTTATTAAATAATTGCACCAACCACTCCAAAACTATATCCCCACCTGCTTTTAACATTTCTATCTTTATCCCATCAATCCCGGCTGCCTTACCCCCTTTCATTTTACCTACTGCCTCACGAACTTCCCCCACACTCACAACTGGCTCTTCCTCACTCCTACAAGATGTTGTTCCTCCTTGCCCTATACACGAAATCACATCTTCCCTATCATCATCAACATTTAACAATTCCTCAAAATATTCCCTCCATCTTCCCAATACCTCTAACTCTCCATTTAATAACTCTCTCTCCTATTTTTAACTGACAAATCCATTTGTTCTCTAGGCTTTCTTAACTTGTTAATCTCACTCCAAAACTTTTTCTTATTTTCAACAAAATTTGTTGATAACATCTCACCCACTCTCTCATTTGCTCTCTTTTTACATTGCTTCACCACTCACTTAAACCTCTCTCTTTTTCTCCATATACTCTTCCCTCCTTGCATCACTTCTACTTTGTAAAAACTTCTCATATGCTAACTTTTTCTCCCTTACTACTCTCTTTACATCATCATTCCACCAATCTCTCCTCTTCCCTCCCGCACCCACTTTCCTGTAACCACAAACTTCTGCTGAACACTCTAACACTACATTTTTAAACCTACCCCATACCTCTTCGACCCCATTGCCTATGCTCTCATTAGCCCATCTATCCTCCAATAGCTGTTTATATCTTACCCTAACTGCCTCCTCTTTTAGTTTATAAACCTTCACCTCTTTCTTCCCTGATGCTTCTATTCTCCTTGTATCCCATAACTCTTATCCTGGGAAATTCTGAAGAGAAGTTCCAATAGTTGGTGTATGAATTTGAAAGGATATGTAAAAGAAAGCAATTAAAAGTAGACATAGGAAAGAGCAAGGGGGCGAGAGAAACAAAAAAAATTTAAGGTAATGAAAGATTGGTTATCAGATTGGAGGGAGGGAGTATGGAGTAAGTGAATGTGTTCAGATATTTGGGAGTAGACTTGTCAGCAGACAGGTCCATGAAAGAAGAGGTGAACCACAGGTGGGTGATGCACTGAGGCATTTGTGGAAATAAAGAACATTATCAATGCAGACAAAAAGGAAAATGCAAAGTATAGTGGTACCAACACTTTTATGGGTGTGAAGCATGGGTTGTCAATGTTGCAGCAAGGAAGAGGCTGAAGGCAATGGAGATGTTGTGTCAGAGGGCAATGAGTGGTGTGAATATTATGCAGAGAATTTATAATTTGGATATTAGAAAACAGTGCAGTGTTATTTAAAGTACTGTGCAGGAGGCTAAGGACAGGTTGTTGAGGTGGTTCAAACATTTACAGAAGATGGAGCAAAAGAGGATGACAATACAGAATAGGAGGGTGTATAAATCTGTATTTGAGGAAAGGCAGCATACGGGCCATCCTAGGAAAGGCATGTGTGAGCATGTTTAACAGGAATGGAGGCAAGGGTCTTGATGACATGATGTGCTGTTAGAATATAAGCAGGGATACCTGGAATTACCTGGAGAGAGTTCCGGGGGTCAACGCCCCCGCGGCCCAGTCTGTGACCAGGCCTCATGGTGGATCAGGACCTGATCAACCAGGCTGTTACTGCTGGCCGCACATAATCCAACATACAAGCCACAGCCCGGTTGGTCAGGTACTGACTTTAGATGCCTGTCCAGTGCCTGCTTGAAGACAGCCATGTGTCTATTGGCAATCTCCCTGTTGTATGCTGGGAGGCAGTTGAACAGTTTTGAGCACGAAAAACATGAAAACCAGTTACCCAAACTAGAGTTCTGAGGATGGGAGGCAAAGTGTCTGCACTCTGGAGGGGTGGGGATGTTGCAGTTTGGAGAGGCATCTGAACTGCTGTATCAGCATGCCTCTGGCAAGACAGTGATGGGCTCAGTGGTACCTGGAGTTTACCTGGAGTGGGTTTTTGGGGTCAATGCCCCTGCGGCCCAGTCTGTGACCAAGCCTTGTGGTAGATTAGGACCTGATCAACCAGACTGTTTCTGCTGGTCGCACGTAGACTGACGTATGAATCACAGCCTGGCAGGTTAGGTACTGACTTTTGGTGCCTGTCTAGTGCCTTCTCGAAGACAGCCAGGGGTCTATTGGTAATACCCCTTATGTAAGCTGGGAGGCAGTTGAACAGTCTTGGGCCCCTGACACTCACTAATTGTTTCTTATCGTACTCGTGGCGCCCCTGCTTTTCAATGGGGGGATGTTGCACCGCCTGTCAAGTCTTTTGCTTTCGTAGGGAGTGATTTTCATGAGTAAATTTGGTACTAATCCCTCTAGGATTTTCCAGGTGCGTATTACCATGTATCTTTCCTGCCTACATTCCAGGGAGTACAAGTCAAGGAATTTCAACAGTTCCCAGTAATTTAAGTGTTTTATCATACTTACGTGTGCCATGAAGGCTCTCTGTACACTCTCCAGGTCAGCAATTTCACCTGCCTTGAAAGGCACCATCAGTGTACAGCAATATTCCAGTCTAGAGAGAACAGGCAATTTGAAGAGAATCATCATGGGTTTGACATCCCTAGTTTCAAAGGTTTTCATTGTCCATCCCATCATTTTTCTAGCAGATGTGGTGGATACAGTGTTGTGATCTCTCAAAATGAGATCCTCTGACATTATCATTCCCAGGTCTTTGACATTAGTTTTTCGCTCTATTGTGTGGTTGGAATTTGTTTTATACTACGATATAGTTTTAATTTCTTCAAGTTTTCCATATCGAAGTAACTGAAATTTCTCTTCACTGAATTTCAAATTGTTTTCTGTGGTCCATTTAAAGATTTGGTTGATGACTGCTTGGAGTCTTGAGGCGTCTTTGATGGAGGACACTGTCATGCAAACTTGTGTGTCATCTGGCTTACATCTCTGTCTATGTCAGATACGAGGATGAGGAACAGGATGGAAGTGAGTACTGTGCCTTATGGAACAGAGCTTTTCACTGTGGCTGCCTCAGACTACTCTGTTCACTATTACTCTTTGTGTTCTATTTGTTAGGAAGCTATAGATCCATCTACCAACTTTTCCCATTATTCTTTTTTCACACATTTTGTGTGCTATTACACTATGGTCATACTTGTCAATGGTCAAAGAGCTTCTTCCTTTTCAAGTCACCTTGCCTCAGTGGAAGATGGCTAGTAAATTAAAAAAAAAAGAATTATGGTGACATTCAGGCAGTGTGTGAACAAGGTAGCATATATGAAGGAATTGGTAAAATTTGATTAGCTGGATATGGGGCCTGGAAGTGGGAAGTACAGTACCTGTACTCTGAAGGAGGTACAGGGATGTTACAGTTCAGAAAGTCATTTGAATTGTTATGTATGTGCTACTGAATGAAGGATGGTGAATGTATTTTATTTTTGGGTCATTCTACCTTGATGGCAGTTGGCAGGAATTAAAAACAATTATGTGAAAGAAGGGGAGTAGAAACAGCAGTAACAATGAGTGCATGAGCATGGATGATAATTGAGTCTGGATAAACATGTTTTATTAGATATTTTAAACAATCATAATCCAGCTACTTAAAAGTTACGTAAGTTGCACGAGGCAATTTTGTAACAGTAGCAAATTAAATTTCACCCCATAATAATATACCTTTTTTCCTAAGGTTCAAAACATGCAATTGCTTTGGTTATATTATATCCAAATCCGTAGCATTTGTATATACATTTCCAGCTTTATGAGCAAAATATCAGCTATAGATTGTACATTTTTACCTATTAATTTTCAGAGAATAGTCGTTGGAAATACAGTAATTTCACACTCCTCTTTTAAAGGTTGAGGAAAAATTATTTCCTCTATGAGGTTAACATATTAAGCATACTCAGTAAAAATGTGAAATAATTCCACGACATGAGAATTACTAAAGACATTGTTTTTAATAGGTTAAACCTTTAATACAGCTGGATGTTTCTCTGAATTCTGTTTTGCTGCTAAGCCAAGTTTGACAAAAAGTTCAAGTAGGCGCATCAATAACTTGTCCATCTCAGCTTCTCCTTGAATGTTGGCACAGATATTTGCTAAAGCATTATGTACTGCAGTAGCAACATGTCTGAAAGAAATGGAAAAAAACAATTCTGGATAGAATATAACATCATGGTTATCATTACATATATAAGCACAAGAGGTGTATGATTATCCCCTCAACAAAAAAAATATTGTGCTATAGTATTCCACACCTCTTTCTTTCACAGTGATATGTTACATGAATACACTTAAATTACATGTCTGTCTTAATATTAGTAGACAAAGGCTTAAACCTTAATAGCCCCTTCTACTGAATGGCCCACAATGATTCAGTACTTCACATATGTACAGTGGACCCCTCTACTATCGCGAGGCTCTATTTTCGTGAATTTCGATTATCGGCAACTTTTTTCGTCAAAATATAGCCTCTTTTCGTGACCTCCCTCTAAATTCGCGGCCATCTGGTATGTGTCCCAGTGGCCCCACACACACAAAGCCTCCCACAGACACATTCAAGAGTCAGTCTGGCATTGTCTCTCGGTGAGTGAGCATCACCCCCTGCGTTCATAGAAACATTTTGTAATAATCCATTGTTTTTTGTGCTTACAACTGCTAAAAAAGCCACCATGGGCCAAAAGAAAGCTTCTAGTGGCAGCCCTTTGGTAAAGAAGGTAAGAAACATGATAGAATTAAAGAAAGAAATCATAGCAAAGTGTTGGAGGAGAGAGGGGATAATGTGGTTTCTTCAGTGATTCGACAAGATGTACAATACTAAAGCAGCAAGAGTCGAAAAAGGCTATAGCACCAACCAGTGATAAAGTGCAGCATTATATAAATGCTCTGGAAAATGTACAAAGGAGGATGACAAAGTTGATCCCATGTATCAGAAACCTTCCCTATGAGGATAGACTAAGGGCCCTGAATCTGCACTCTCTAGAAAGACGTAGAATTAGGGGGGATATGATTGAGGTGTATAAATGGAAGACAGGAATAAATAAAGGGGGTGTAAATAGTGTGCTGAAAATATCTAGCCTAGACAGGACTCGCAGCAATGGTTTTAAGTTAGAAAAATTCAGATTCAGGAAGGATATAGGAAAGTACTGGTTTGGTAATAGAGTTGTGGATGAGTGGAACAACTCCCAAGTACAGTTCTAGAGGCCAGAACGTTGTGTAGCTTTAAAAACAGGTTGGATAAATACATGAGTGGGTGTGGGTGGGTGTGAGTTGGACCTAATTAGCTTGTGCTACCAGGACGGTTGCCGTGTTCCTCCCTTAAGTCAAGGAGACCTGACCTGACTAGGTTGGGTGCATTGGCTTAAGCCAGTAGGAGACTTGGACCTGCCTTGCATGGGCCAGTAGGCCTTCTGCAGTGTTCCTTCGTTCTTATGTTCTTAACAGTATAGCAAGTTGAGCAATTAAGCGATAGAAAAAGGACGACACGAAACTTAACTCCTCCAATGTTATTGGAGGTATATAGGGTCACTGACAACACCGCCGTCGCCACCACCACCACCACTATACGGCTTATGCTGCCAGTGGCCCTGATAACCCAACAACAACAACAAAGAACCACCACTAGTCATACGTAATTAAATATTTTATTCATTCTAGAGTATATATCATGTTTCTATGTTATTAGTATTTTTTATTATGTCACATTAGATGGATTGTGACAGATAAATAAGCCGCAGAGTTGATATTAGCATCATATTGAAGTACAGTGGACCCCCGCATAACGATCACCTCCGAATGCAACCAATTATGTAAGTGTATTTATGTAAGTGCGTTTGTACGTGTATGTTTGGGGGTCGGAAATGGACTAATCTACTTCACAATATTCCTTATAGGAACAAATTCGGTCAGTACTGGGACCTGAACATACTTCTGGAGTGAAAAAATATCGTTAACCGGGGGTCCACTGTATACTGTCCTGTCTCCAAAAAATAAACTTACTTCCCTCTCCCCTCCTCCCCATCTGCCATACACGAACAAAAGTCTTCAATAAAGGTAAGCGTGAGGTTAAATGTTCATTTATACATTTTATAACTGCTTTATATTTACAGTATTTCTCATTGTTTTCTGTATGTAAATCTATAACCCTTTGACTGTTTTGGTTGTATATATACGTCTCACGAGCCAGTGTTTCGGACGTATATATACATGTACTCAATAATTCTAGCCATTTCAAATCAAGCAGGAGAAAGCTGGTAGGCCCACATGTGAGATAATGGGTCTGTGTGGTCAGAGTGCACCACATAAAAAAATTCCTGCAGCATGCAGTGCATAATGAGAAAAAAAACTCTGACCATTTTTTGGGATTAAAATGCTGACTTTGAGTTGTATTTTCGTATAGTATTTATCGCTGTATTCTCATTTTCATGGTTTCATGTAATAAAATGGAAAACATATTGCAGAAATAGAGATGATTTTGATTAGTTTCACGATGAAAACGACCTTGAAATTGAGCTCAAAGTAGCAGAAATGTTCGATTTTTACCAATGTTCAAGTGCAAGCAAATCACACCACACGTCCAATACACGTCAACTGGAGAGTCTAACATTCTTTCACTAGTGCACTGATATTATTTACACCATTTTTACAATAATGCAGTAGTCTTCATAACAGTAAATTTTGTACTTTTGAATGAATAAAAAATCAAAATAGAAAGCAATAGTAATATAAGAGGGGCCTAGAAATGTGACTAATGAACAGAGGATATGTTATTTTAGTGCCAAGAATGTCTACATTGTTTATTCTGGACCCTATTTTGAAACTGGCATTTTATTTAATTTGCGTGAAATTGGCCAAATTGCCAATTTCTGACCACTTTATTGGGTAGTTCAAATTGGTAAATGGGCAGTTTCTTGTAGTCAATTGACAGAAAAAATGGAGTTCTAAAGAAATAGCTATGAGTTTGGTCAACTGCAACAGCGGAATTGGCCAAAAACAGGGCTCAAAGTCGGCAAAATTGCCGATCCGTATATGTCGCCAAGACCGCTAACTTCATGGGAGCGTAATTTTGACCAAATTTCGTACTTTTGGTGTCATTACCATCGGGAAAAGATTCTCTATCATTTCATAAGAAAAAATTTTTTTTTTTTTTTTCCAAAAATTTTGCGACACAGAATGACAGTTTCAGAAAGGGGCTTGCGACAGTCAAAGGGTTAATCTCTAAAAAATATTTCTTTTTTGTTAATACTTTTGGGTGTCTGAAATGGATTAACTGGATTTACTGTACATTATTTCTTATGGGGAAAATGGTTTCGATTTTCGTGAATTTCAACTTTCGGCAGACTCTGGAAATGATTAATCACAAAATTAGAGAGTCCACTGTACATTGGCAGTTTGGAGTGACTATCTAAACTATTGCATCTCGGGACCTCTGCAAAGACAGTGATTATGTATGAAAGATGGTGAAAGTGTTGAATGATAATGAGAGTTTTTCCTTTCTTATTGCATTTTTCTTTCTCTTGGGTCACCCTGCCTTGGTGGGAAATGGCCGATGTGTTAAAAATATACAGCCGGGCTGGGCCGGCTGATGCATATCGCTGTATAATATTTGGCGATACTCGCGGCGGCAACATGGCATGCAGGCAGCATCAGTTTGAGTTACCTGCCCTATCAGCAGCATCATACTGTATTAACTGTACTACCTGGACAATCTCATCATGGCCCCTAAGAGGAAGACTGAATCTTGCACTGGAGATTGTGGCAAGAAGGCAAGAAAGGCTCTTACTCTCAAACTCTCTTTATTTGTTTTCAATGTTGCACATATACCTGTCTATATCTGTCTGTATCTGTCTATCTGTCTGTCTGTCTGTCTGTCTATCTGTGTCTGCTTATCTGTCTTTGCCTTCCTGTGCATGTCTGTCTTTCTGTCTACCTGTATGTCTGTCTTTCTGTCTGCTTGTCTCTGTCTCAGAGCCACTCATGAACCAACAGGTATTACACACAAAGCAGAGTCATCACATCTTCAATATGATGCTAATATTAGCTCTACGGCTTATTTATGTATCACAATTCATCTAATATGACATAATAAACAATATAAATATAAATAACATAAAAACCTGATATACACTCTAGAATGAATAAAATATGAACTTAACTGCTTTAAACTCCACATCTTGCGCCTGTGCTGGCATGCAGGTACACATTAAAATCATTAGGAGTGTGTTATTGGTCTTGAAGATGCCATATTAATAATATGGCAATAATAATCACTCTGAGGTGCATTAAATGTGTATAAAACGTTAATATAGACATTTTGCTTAATCCGGCTATGTTTTTCTGTTCAAAATTATATAATAAACATGCAACGTAACATATAAATTAACATAAATACGAGATGTTTCTCCAGTCGGCTTGACAGAGTGAACAAAAACCATTCGTGTCCAGGCAGGTAACAACAACAACTACACCCACTATCCAACCTGAGACTTGCTCGACATACGACCACTCGACTAACGACCATGTTTTGTATGCAAATGTTCTGGGAAATAAACAACTGTTTGTGTTGTATACAGTGTTTCTCCTAATCCTTACAGTATAAAATACAGTACTAACAGCATAAAAAGTAAAGTAAAAAGCAAAATACCAAAATAAAACAATAAAATAAAATCATTACAATAATATGATATTGATATTCAGTAGTAAGGTTCGACTTACAGTACGCTCATTTTGACTTACGACCAGTTGGTCAGAACCAAGCCTGGTCGTAAGTCGGATGGTACCTGTAGTTCGTTTACAAAATTCGTGAACCTTCTACACTCTCATTCTCTCTCTCGTTTATTCATTTAATCTTGTTTACTCACCTCTCACTCTACATTAAGACTACAGATATTTTAAGGTAAGTAATGAGTGAACACTATTATTACATTATATTTTAATAATAATATTATCATTATTAATATTAGTACATATGTATTACTGTAATAATTATAATTAATATTATTATTAATTTAGGGCACTGGAGCACAGATCCACTGTATAGCACTTTGTCTAGATTTTTTGGGTTATCCTAGGTAATTTACACTATGTATGATAACTTTATGTGTAACTGTGAGAGAGAGACAGAGATAGAGACAGATACAGATGGAGAGACAGCCAAATTCAGTCAGCCAGGCAGCCAACCAACCAACCAACCAACCAACCAACCATCCACCCACCCGGCCGGCCTGCTAGCCAGCCAGCCAGCTGAATACGTATTAAACATGTTCCAGAGTTGTTTCTCTTTACTTAGGACATAGGTTATAGGACATTCTGGCAGGATGACACTGCCTGTGCTATTCTCCGATTCCACAGTGTCGACAATACTTAAAGATAACAGTAACATACGATACTCTATGAGATGTAAAATTTACAAAGCGGTTCACTACCATGTATGCATAATATACAGTACATAAATGATTAAAACATATCAATAGTACATTATAAATAAAAAGAATGAAATAATGATTGTACATTACATTACAGTACTATGTAGGTAGTTTATATAGCAAAGGTTTGACATTATGCCCTACCCAGTATGTTGGCAATTTTCAAAGGTTAGACTTGAGTCCATTTTGACTTACGACCAGTTGGTCGGAAACAACCTCGGGCCTAAGTCGGATGGTACTTGTATGTATACATGTATATGTATATACATATATATATATATATATATTATATATATATATATATATATATATATATATATATATATATATATATATATATATATATATAATATATATATATTTTTCAACAAGTCGGCCGTCTCCCACCGAGGCAGGGTGACCCAAAAAAGAAAGAAAATCCCCAAAAAGAAAATACTTTCATCATCATTCAACACTTTCACCACACTCGCACATTATCACTGTTTTTGCAGAGGTGCTCAGAATACAACAGTTTAGAAGCATACACATATAAAGATACACAACATATCCTTCCAAACTGCCAATATCCCAAACCCCTCCTTTAAAGTGCAGGCATTGTACTTCCCATTTCCAGGACTCAAGTCCGACTATATGAAAATAACCGGTTTCCCTGAATCCCTTCACTAAATATTACCCTGCTCACACTCCAACAGATCGTCAGGTCCCAAGTACCATTCGTCTCCATTCACTCCTGTCTAACACGCTCACACACGCTTGCTGGAAGTCCAAGCCCCTTGCCCACAAAACCTCCTTTACCCCCTCTCTCCAACCCTTTCGAGGACGACCCCTACCCCGCCTTCCTTCCCCTATAGATTTATATGCTTTCCATGTCATTCTACTTTGTTCCATTCTCTCTAAATGACCAAACCACCTCAACAACCCCTCTTCTGCCCTCTGACTAATACTTTTATTAACTCCACACCTTCTCCTAATTTCCACACTCCGAATTTTCTGCATAATATTTACACCACACATTGCCCTTAAACAGGACATCTACACTGCCTCCAACCGTCTCCTCGCTGCTGCATTTACCCACCCATATAAGAGTGTTGGTACTACTATACTTTCATACATTCCCTTCTTTGCCTCCATAGATAACGTTTTTTGACTCCACATATACCTCAACGCACCACTCACCTTTTATCCCTCATCAATTCTATGATTAACCTCATCCTTCATAAATCCATCCGCCGACACGTCAACTCCCAAGTATCTGAAAACATTCACTTCTTCCATACTCCTCCTTCCCAATTTGATATCCAATTTTTCTTTATCTAAATCATTTGACACCCTCATCACCTTACTCTTTTCTATGTTCACTTTCAACTTTCTACCTTTACACACATTCCCAAACTCATCCACTAACCTTTGCAATTTTTCTTTAGAATCTCCCATAAGCACAGTATCATCAGCAAAAAGTAACATGGCTTGATTTATTTACTTTTGAACTTTGGCAAAAATTGAATATTTCTGCTATTTTGAGCTCAATTTCAAGGTACTTTTCATTTTGAAACCAATCAAAATCATCTCAATTTCCATAATATGTCTTCCATTCTATAAAATGAGACCAGGAAAACTAGAATACAACCATACAAAAATACACTGCAAAGTCGCTGTTTTAAACCAAAAAGACGGTCAGAGTTTTTTTTCTCACATTATACACTGTGTGCTGCAGGATTTTTTTTATACTTCGCACACTGACCACATAGACCCATTCTTTCATATATAGGCCTACCAGCTTTCTCTTGCTAGATTTAAGGTGCTAGAATTTAGGCGTACTAGTACGGTATCAACCCTGAGGTGCAAGCCGTATTAGTATGGCACCAACCCTGAAAGGGTTAAGATCCAATTAAGAATAACTGTGTAAACATTTAAACTTCAAATGACTAATGTAGACATGACCAGTTGTAGCACAGGTGAGACTCACCTATACTGCTTCATGCGTTGGTCTTGAGCAGCACCAATTCCATATGTGCCACTACTTGCCTCGATGATGATCTTGCTGAATTGCTCCATTATTTCATCATATACCTTGGGCTGAAACATTGCAAGTGCATATTATATGTTGCAGCAACTAAATCAAAATACATTTCACACCAAAATATGGAAAATTTTGATCACTTCCTTAACTGCAAAGGCCATACCATTATTGGCTGGTTTATATTTCTATACATAAAAGATAATACAAATAAATTTTAAAGAATAACACTCACATCATTCTTTGCCAGAAGCATGCAGCCCAACTGGTCAACAATCAATGTATCAAGATTTGAGGGTGGGCGGCAGAAGCGCTGGAGAAGACACTGGTGAAGAATGGTCTCAGTGGTACGATGAGAGTCCTTCAAAGCTACTGCCACATGGCCCAAAGCCACTACCACATTGTGTGATATAACAATATTATCACTGAAATATATGAATAATGTTAAACAAGTTAAACAAGGTCACAAAAATTATCTTGCATTACAATTATTGAATATTACTGAACCGGATGCATTTATTTCTCGTAGTTAGCTATGAGTTAGCTCTCAACGGAGAGCTAACTAACGAAGATTTAACAGAGTTGGAAGCGCAGCAGCACTTGAAAGAGGAAGAAGTACGAAAGAAGTTCACTGTAAAGGGGTTAGCTGGTGTGTTCTCAAAAGCGAATGCAGAACAGAACTCGGTCGTTAAGTGAGGAGTGTCTGTAGTATACATATACAGTGAAACCTAAAATTTTGAACGTATTGCTTATCGAACGCTTCGAAAATTAACCCTTTTTTCAAACCAACTTTGTCCCTATTATCAAACTCCCCCTAATTTCGAATCGCTGGGTACCAGACTTGTCCGGCAGCACGCTCTGTCCGCGTCCCCATGCAGGTGCCATGAGCCAGCCTGGTTTTGTTGATGCTTGAGTGAACATTAACCTGAGCTCTCATTCAAACATTTTACGATTCTTTCATTGTGTTTAGTGCTTGTGGGACTGTGAAATAAGCTACAATGGGAGCAATGAAACTTGCTAGTGGCACCCCTGTGGTAAAGAAAGTGAGAAACACCATGTAGATGTGAAGAAGGAAATAATACAGAAGTGGAATGATGTCCAAATGTTTGTGGAGAAGTACCACCCTGAGCAAGCTGAAACAAGCCATCTTTGCAACAAGTTCAGTGACAGAACCATGTCCCATTTTAGGGAAATCTTAAAGAGGCACCAGAAACAGAAGACTGTGGACAGTTATTTTGTGAGGAGTCCAGTGACTCTCAAGCTGGTCCTAGTGGCATTAAAAGACAGAAGGGAAGTAACCCCAGAGAGAGCTTAGATACCTGAAGTCCTCATCGAGGGGGATTCTCCTTCCAAACTCTAACCCCAACTCCCTCTCTCCTCCTCCCTATCTTCCAGATGCCATCACCAAACCTCAATAAAGGAAAGTAAAATGTTATTTTATTATTTTTTGTTTTTCAACAAGTCGGCCGTCTCCCACCGAGGCAGGGTGACCCAAAATGAAAGAAAATCCCCAAAAAGAAAATACTTTCATCATCATTCAACACTTTCACCTCACTCACACATAATCACTGTTTTTGCAGAAGTGCCCAGAATACAACAATTTAGAAGTATGTATGTATAAAAATACACAATATATCCCACCAAACTGCCAATATCCCAAACTCCTCCTTTAGAGTGCAGGCATTGTACTTCCCATTTCCAGGACTCAAGTCCGGTTAAATAAAATAACCGGTTTCCCTGAATCCCTTCACTAAATATTACCCTGCTCACACTCCAACAGCTAGTCAGGTCCCAAATACCATTTGTCTCCCTTCACTCCTTTCTAACACGCTCACACACACTTGCTAGAAGTCCAAGCCCCTCGCCCACAAAACCTCCTTTGCCCCCTCCCTCCAACCTTTTTGAGGATGACCCCTACCCTGCCTTCCTTCCCCTACAGACTTATATGCTCTCCATGTCATTCTACTTTGATCCATTTCTCCTAAATGACCAAACCACCCCAACAAACCCTCTTCAGCCCTCTTACTAATGCTTTTATTAACTCAACACCTCCTAATTTCCACACTCCGAATTTTCTACATAATATTTACACCACACATTGCCCTTAGACAGGACATCTCCACTGCCTCCAACCGCCTCCTCACTGCAGCATTTACAACCCAAACTTCACACCCATATAAGAGAGTTGGTACCACTATAGTTACATACATTCTCTTTGATGCACCACTCACTTTTTTTCCCTCATCAATTCCATAGTTAATCTCATCCTTCATAAACCCATTTGTTGACACGTCAACTCCCAAATATCTGAAAACATTCACTTCTTCCATACTCCCTCTCTCCAATTTGATATCCAATTTTTCTTTATCTAAATCATTTGATACCCTCATCACCTTACTCTTATCTATGTTCACTTTCAACTTTCTACCTTTACACACCCTCCCAAACTCGTCCACTAACCTTTGCAACTTTTCTTTAGAATCTCCCATAAGCACAGTATCATCAGCAAAAAGTAACTGTGTCAATTCCTATTTTGTATTTGATTCCCCATAATTTAATCCCACCCCTCTCCCCAACACCCTAGCGTTCAATTCCTTTACAATCCCATCTATAAATATATTAAACAACCATGGTGGCATTACTTATCCCTGTCTAAGACCTACTTTTACCAGGAAGTAATGTCTCTCTCTTCTACACATCCTAACCTGAGCCTCACTATCCTCATAAAAACTCTTTACAGCATTTAGTAACTTACTACCTATTCCATATACATGTACTTGTAACATCTGCCACATTGCTCCCCTATTCACTCTATCATATACCTTTTCTAAATCCATAAATGCAATGAAAACTTCCCTACCTTTATCTAAATACTGCTCATATATATGCTTCAATGTAAACACATGATCTACACATCCCTTGCCCACTCTAAAGCCTCACTGGTCATCCAAAATCCTACTCTCTGTCTTACCTCTAATCCTTTCAATAATAACCCTACTATACACTTTTCCTGGTATACTCAGTAAAATTATTTGCTTATAATTTTTACAATATCTTTTGTCCCCCTTCCCTTTATATAAAGGAACTATACACGCTCTCTGCCAATCCCTAGGTTCCTTCCCCTCTTTTATACATTTATTAAACAAAAATACCAACCACCCCAACACTATATCCCCCCTGCTTTTAACATTTCTGTCATGATCCTGTCAATTCTAGCTGCTTTACCCCCTTTCATTTTATGTACTGCATCACGCGCCTCCCCCACACTCACATCCTGCTCTTCTTCACTTCCAAAAGATGTTATACCTCCCTGACCAGTGCATGAAATTACCGCATCCCTTTCTTCATCGACATTTAACCCTTTGACTGTTTTGGTCGTATATATACGTCTTACGAGCCACCGTGTTTGACGTATATATATTCATAAATTCTAGAGACTTCTTCAAATCAAGCAGGAGAAAGCTGATAGGCCCACATGTGAGAGAATAGGTCTGTTTGGTCAGTGTGCACCATATAAAAAAAATCCTGCAGCATGCACGGCATAATGAGAAAAAAAAAACTCCGACCGTTTTTTTAATTAAAATGCCAAATTGTGGTCTGTTTTCGTATGGTATTTATGGTTGTATTCTCGTTTTCTTGGTCTCATTTGATAGAATGGAAAACATATTATAGAAGCAGAGGTGATTTTGATTGGTTTTACTATGAAAAGAAACTTGAAATGGAACTCAAAGTAGGGGAATTGTTTCATTTTTGTCGATGTTCAAAAGTAAACAAATGATGTCATTTTCCAATAAATGTCCAAATAGCCATTCTAATATGCAGTCATGAATGGGTTGACATTATTTATACAATAATTACAACATTGCAGTAGTCTGCATAACAACAAATCTTCTATTTTTTGTTTGAATAAAAATTCAAAATAGAAAGCAAGAGTAATATCAGAGGGGGCTGGAGATGTGATTGAAGAACAAAGAAAATTTTATTTTAGAGCCAGGAATGTCTGCATGTTCATTCTGGGCCCTGTTTTGAAATTGTTATATTTTTTAATTTTCGTGAAATTGGCCAAATTGCAAATTTCTGACCATGTTATTGGGTAGTTAAAATCGGTAAATGGGCAGTTTCTTGTACTCAATCGATAGGAAAAATAGAGTTCTAAAGACATAGCTATGAGTTTGTTTGACTGGAACAATGGAATTAGCCGAAAATAGGGCTCAAAGTGGGTGAAATCGCCGATTCGTAAATATCACCAAGGTCAATAACTTAGCAAAAGCGTAATTCTGTCGGTTTTCCATCAAATTTCATTCTTTTGGTGTAATTACAATCGGGAAAAGATTCTCTATCATTTCATATGAAAAAAATTTTGTGGGGGAGGGGGGGGTTGCGACACGAGGAGACACCTCAGGATATGGGGTTGCGACAGTCAAGGGGTTAAAAGTTCCTCAAAATATTACCACCATCTACCCAATATCTCCAGCTCCCCATCTACTAACTCCCCTACTTTCTTTTTAATTGACATATCCATTTGTTCCCTAGGCTTTCTTAACTTGCTTATCTCACTTCAAATTTTTTTCTTATTTTCATCAAAATTTCTTGACAGTGCCTCTCCCACTCTATCATCTGCTCTCCTTTTGCACTCTCTCACCACTCTCTTCACATTTCTTTTACTCTCCATATACTCTGCCCTTCTTACAACACTTATGCTTTGTAAAAACTTCTCAAAAGCTACCTTTTTCTCTTTTATCACACCCTTTACTTCATCATTCCATCAATCACTCATTTTTCCTCCTGCACCCACCCTCCTATAAATACAAACCTCTGCTCCACTTTCTAATACTGAATTTTTAAAACTATTCCAACCCTCTTCAACCATCCCCCTTTCTCATCTTATACACCCACCTTTCTGTGAGCGAA